AACCATCCACTGCCAACCTACAGAATGGGAGAAGATACTTGCACATTGTGTATGTGATAAGTGATTAATATCTAACATACATGAAGAATTTATACCACTCAATAGCAAGAGAAAATAGGGAGAAGATCTGAGTAGACGTTTTTCCAAAGGAGATGCACAGACACATACATAGGCACAAAGATGCTCAACATCACTAATCATCATGGAAATAGAAACCAAAATCACAATGAGGTATCACCTCATACCTGTTAAAATGGTTAATATCAAAACGACAAGAAATAGCAAGTAATAGCAACTATGAAAGTGCCTCAAAAAATGAAAAATAGTATTACCGTATGATCCAGCAGTTACATTACGTATTTTTCTAAACAAAGATGAAAACGCTAATTCATAAAGATACATACGTACTCAGTATTCATTGCAGCATTATTTACGATAGTCAAGATACGGAAATAAGTGTCCATCAGTGGATGAATGGATAAAGATGAGATGTATATACCAACACAGTATTACTCGTCATAAAAAAAGAATGAAATCTTGCCATTTACAATAACATGGAGGGACTCTGAAGGTATTATACTAAGCGAAATAAGTCAGAGAGAGAAGGACAAACACCATGAGATTTCTCTTAGATATGGAATGTAAGAAAACAAATGAACAAACAGAACTTAAAACAGGTGGGTTGATGCCATTGGTGGTGGTTGTGGGGTGGGTGAAATGGCTGAAGGGAGTGAAGAAGTACAAACTTCGAGTAATAGATAAGTCATGGGGATGTAGCATACAGCATGGTGACTATATTTAGTGATACTTCATGCACATTTGAAAGTTGCCAAGAGAGTAAATCCTAAAAGTTCTCAACTTTTCTTTTGTAATGATTATTTTGCAGTGTATACACTATTGAATCATTATACACCTGAAACTACTAAAATGTTACATGTCAATTGTATCTGAACTTTTTGGAAAAAAAAAAAGAACATCGAGCCCAGTAATCTGTCAATAAGTGTTTGAATATCTCCTCCTTCAGTCTCATTACACTAGAAATCTGGATAAATTATAGAGTATTTTATTTCAGAGGATGTTGGTTGCTTATGTTTTGGTGTTTGGACATGATCGAGTCCCATGTTCACCTCTGATTTGTCAGATGTAATTCCAAATCTTGCTTGTATAGCATATTCAAATACAGGAAACATATGTTGTACATACCTCACATACTAGTGTAAGGTTTTGTCCATATGAATGAAGTTCCACAGTAAGGCAGAGCTACAGAAACTCCATGAGGAGACTTACGGGGAGAAGGCTTACCTGCAAGTGTTTGCTGCCAGCACCCCAGGTGTGCAATAGACACCCCATAAAGTGCTTCCTCAAAACCCCGAACCCTATGATCTTCATGACTGAGACATGTGGAAGAGTTTGGGGTTTGACTGAAAGGTAGCAACATTCTTCTAAGTGATTCTTTGGCACCATGGTTAATGTTACTACAGTTGACCTGAAAGCTTACTCGGGGCGTAGGATGCCCCTCTTCAACTGACATTAAATTCAGTGGGTTGAAGTCTTTTGGAAATGCAAAGGGCTGGTTACCTGACTTCAAGGCTCAAAGCCCTCTAAGTTCTGTCATCAGAAGTGTCAAAATGATAATCTGGAAGAATTTGTAGGCTGCTGATCTTACAGAGACTGGTTCTTAGCACTGCAGTAACGAGACAGTGCCTTTGTGATGTTCTCATGATCAGTTGCTGTTATTCGTGTGTTTCTCATCACATATAGGGTTTAGACTTTTCTACTTCAGTCTGTAGCCTGATGTCTCCTAATATAGAGCTGGTTCGCAGAGGAAAGCCATGTGAACAAAGAGACACGTGCCTCTGCCCTTTTGGTCACCTGATGACATAGGCACATCATTTCAAATACTACTGATGCAACCATGTGCCAACATATAACATTTCTTAATACACACTTGAATGTATATTAAGTGAATAAACATTCACGTAAATAATGAGGTTAAGTATCCTTTGGATGTTTGACAGACACGTAAGTGGTTCATTTTAATTGTACTGGAAACCTTTCTGTGTGAGTATGAAGTTACTGCAGTAATAATCCACGGGAGAGAAGTCCTATCCCTGGGGCCCAGCAGTCCCCTTTGAGGCTGAGAGCCCTCAGTGGCAGGCCTGGGCTTCAGCGGGGAGCCGTGCGCACCCGGGAGGGAGCCCTGCTGGTACCGGCGTGGGCAGGGGAGCAGAGTCTCACGTGCACCATGTTGGCCCTGCTGAGATTGGGCCGCCTACATCTCAGGTGTCTAGGCTGCAACCTGCCAGGTGGTGAGCCCTCACCTCACCAGCCCACGGAGACCCTTGGGTTATCGGCGTGAACCACGGGACCAGAAGACCCTTGTCAGAAGAAGACGCTGAGGTTCCTCTGTCCACAGAGCATTTTCTGCTGGGAAACAGGACCAGGGGATGACTTTGTCTCAGTGAAGCCAGAAGCTGCGTGCCAGTCCTCGGGCCGAGTTCAGAGGATGGCATTCGTGCCTTGGGAAACCTTTCTTAGTTTTGAACAGAAGATCGCATTGCTTCCGTGCAGGTCGGAACGTGCACGAAAGTGCAGGTGGGGGTGTGTACACTTACTCTGCCATTCTGTGCCCACTGGATTCGCCCTGAAGGGCCTAATGAGAGCCAGCTTTCCAAATCCTGAATGTTGTTTAATGCGCTGAACAACTTAGTCTCCTGTACGTTTCTTTACTCTCCCTCCTAGTTCTTGGGTGCGAGGAGAAAGCTCCCCTTTCCATGAGGGGTTTGCAGGAGGAGGGGCTGGAGTTCCCAGATGGTTTGGCCAGGAGCGTGGAGGACAGAGGGGAGCCTCCAGGGGTCTTGCCAAGACGGGCCTGCCAGGGTCACGGCAGACCGAGGACAGCCTGTTGCTGTCACCCCATTGAGGTGGCAGTGCCCCTCTGCCGACACAGGCTGTGCCCCAGGCCCGCGAATCTGACGGGAGAGTGACAGGCTGCTAGGAGGGGCCGAGCTGTGCTTGTTCTAAGCACCTCAGGCCCGGAGCCAGAACGGCCCATCAGCAGCGCAGGGCACGTGTGAGGCGCCCTTGCCCTTCGGCTCCACCTCCCGAAGCCAAGGAGCAGCTCAGCTGGCAGAGAACAACCTTGGATAAACACGAGTCCCAAGTTAGGGGCCACGACACGGAATGAGTTCATGAAAGGGACTTCCTGTGAACTGTCCTCACGTTTGTCACACTCTGCTGTGGGGGACGTTGCTGCTTCCTGCCTGGGAGACTGGGACAGACCAGACCCTGGGTGAGACGTGTCCTCGCCGGCCTGGCGGGTGCTCCAGGGAGATGCAGGAGAGGCTTGCCGCGAGATGACGTGACACGGCACCTCTGCTGCAGGAGGGCTGGAGGTGACAGGCTGACGTCAGGTGTGCTCTGGCTTATCTTGAAGAGCCAAAAAGAATCATCAAGATTTTGTGACCGGGGTCATGGTCACCAGCAGCTCAGACAGCACAGCTCCTGAGAGGATGGGGCGTCAGCTGGGGAGGAACCTCGGCTGGGATCGCAGCCAGAGCGCACGTGCTGCACCGTCTCCCCGAGACGGGACAGCAGCTTCCCGAAGCTGGCGGCACGTTGGGCCACCTGGAGGTGGCTGTTTCCCAGGCTGGGTGGGAGGCCCTCTGTGGACATGGGGCCTACGGAGGGCCGTGGCTCCGACATGGTGTTGAGAGTGTCCGCCCGCTCTCGACTCTGGGGTCAAGCGTGTTCGGGTTCAGTGGGTGAAGGAGACGCACGGGCTACTTCAAGGGCAGGTAACAGGGTCTCGTCTGCGCTGCTTGGGTTGGGTAGGCAGAGCTGGCTGGGGCTCTGAGTAGGAATTTTCCAGATGAAGAGCACAGCTAGCCCCTTCGGGGTGAGGTCTGAATTTTGGGCTGACCTGTGGTGTTCTGTCCATTACTCTCCGCATCTACTGTCCCCTCTTCTTTATGTCAGCTCTCTTGTGTGTGTGATTATGTCCCTGTAAATCTCAGTCTGGAGCAGACTGTAGGCAGGCAGCAGGCAGGGACGGTGTCTGCCAGGAAAACCCAGATGGGCTGCGAGTACTCACAGGCAGAGTGACAGGAAGGGGGGCTGGTCTGCCGACAGGCTTGCTGGGTCGTCCGCGGCTTCAGGCTGAGCCCTCTGGGAATGAACCGGGGTGGCCGGTTCACTGTGTTGTGATGTTTCGGTTTTAGGAGTGTCAGTTCCTTCCTGGCTTTCGTTTTATTTTCTAAGTCCTAGCTGGTGTGACTGTGGGGATTAAAAAAAAAAAAGCCAGATGAACAGACGTGCTGCGGGCAGCTGGATAGAGTCAGCGACAAAACCACAGGGTTGGTGGCTCCTGGACTGCCTCTGAGGAACACCCCTTCCCGTGGGGACTTCTGGGCACCAGCTCTTAAATTAGTGCCGGCCATTCAGCGCCACTGGAGTCCGTGCCCCGCAGCAGATGCCTGTCCAGCTTTATGTCCCCGTTCACAGCCGTACTCAGGGCGCGGAAGGGAATGGGCGTCTAGTTCACCCGTAGTGATGTCATCAAACGTAGCAGGGCCCTGTGCTCTGAGCATCTGCGAAGTCAGGCTCGGCGTTACGTAGGAAGGTGAACCCTCTTAGCTCTCCGTGACGATTCTGTTCTACGGTCAAACCGGAGGAGGATGTAGCAGCAGCCGTTTAAGGAGACCCACTGTGTGCCAGGCGCACGCTGAACACTGTCCATGCTCCTTCAGTTTATCGCTTGCAGCAAACCCACTCGAGGGCTCTGCTCTCACCCCATGGCACAGATGTGGACGCCGAGCCTGAGTGCCTCGCTGCCCCCTTCAAGGTCAGGCGGTGGCAGCAAGTGGCAGCCAGAGCGGTGACCGCTCCTTCAGAGTCCAGGGAGGTTCCCTGCCTCCTCGGACCCAGGGTGAGGCCGCGTTTTGCCAGGAGGGCACCGTCCTTCCCGGCTCTGTGACTTCTGTGTCTGTCGCCTCTCCTAGGACGCAGGGAGCCAGCAGATCGGGTTCTTGCTTGGAAGCTGTGGAGTCACCGTGGCTTTGACAAGCGACGCCTGCCACAAAGGGCTACCGAAAAGCCCGACTGGGGAGATACCCCAGTTCAAAGGTAAGCCGCGGCTGGGAGCCTGCTGGGGGACTGGCTCTTCACCCGGGAAGGCCCTGCATCTCCCCTGGATATGCTCTTCCACATGTGGAGCGTGACACGTCAGCTGTGGTCAGCCCGCCGCGTGGCATCATGCGTGCTGTTGGCGTCTGAGGCTTGAGGCAGTGCCAGCGGTCCTGCCCGGCGTGGGTGTCCCGCAGGCCGCAGGAAGGCGGGTGCCGTGGCAAGCCTGGTTCCTGGGTAGCACGCCTCTCAAAGGGGCGTGTTGTTCATTTGCAAGGCTGGCCGAAGCTGCTGTGGTTTGTCACAGAGTCGAAGCACCTCTCCAAGCCCCCTCGAGATTGGTTCCCGCACATCAAAGACGCAAACAATGACACCGCCTACATAGAGGTGAGTTGCAACGCTGTCTGCGGGCGGCGGCAGTTGGGCTGCGTGGTGCTCTCTGCACCCCTCTCTGCACACCCCTGTCTCATTTCAGTATAAGACGTGCAAGGACGGAAGCGTACTCGGGGTGACCGTGACCAGGATCGCGCTGCTGACCCACTGCCAGGCCCTCACCCAGGCATGCGGCTACACGGAAGGTACAGGAAGGGGCCCCTCTCGAGACTGTGTCACGCCCCTGCTAATGGAAGGAGTCAGGTCAGGTTTGCACGGAGCTCAGCAGGCGGTGCCTTCTCCTTGTCCTCACTGCACAGGGACAGAGAGCTCTGGCGTCTCATCGCCCCAGGATGCCCGTCCCGATGGGATCGGGCCCACCCACGACCTCATGAACCCTCATTACCTCGGCAGAGGTCATATTTCTAATCGCAGACGCACCTGCCTGTGGGCTTCCACCCGTGGACTCAGAGGGCACGGCTCAGGCTGTACCAGTTAATTCCATGGGCAGTCATCCCTGGATGCAAGTTAACGTCTCTGGGATCCTTAAAAAAAGAAGAGCCCACGTTCAGCCCACCCCTAGAAACCAATGAGGCTCTTTGATAGGGGTCCCGTGAGCTCCCCAGGGTGGGCAACCGCAGTCGAGGGTATGATTTTTATGACGCACGTTCTCTCCCCTGAATCAGTCCAGGGGAGACCATGACCAGAGATGACCATGACCAGAGCGCTGGCTTGGGCTCGTAAAAGGCAGGGTTCACCCAGATACCAGTCAGCCGCTGGCGGATCACTAGCGCTTCACTTGCTGGTGTTTGTAGTTCTAACGACAGCCTTTCTCACAGCCTTGTGACTCGTACTCCTTGCCCTACTTTCTTGGAAGCCCAGGGCTGTTGCTGCCATGGGTGTCAGAGGAAACACACGCCCATTCGCTCCTTGTTTCTAAAGTAAAATTACTTGTAGAATGTGGGACAGAGGCTGACTCCACGCACGGGCGCCTGTCGTCTCTGTGGAGCGGGGTCAGGCGTGCAACACCGGAGCCCAGCGAGCAGCACAAGGAGGAGCCAGCACAGACGTTGGAGGAGGCGTGGGGCGATGCCCAGTGCTCACGTGTGGCTTCCGGGTCCCGTGGGCTCTTCACGTAGCTGCCACGTGCCATCGTGGCCCTTGTTTTCAGCCACGTGTTGTTAGCAGCCTTTCTTCCCGCTTCCGGAGGCGTCCCCGCGTGAATACTGTTCTCTCCCCTCCTCCTGAGCCTTGTGCCTCCTTAGTGACTCGGGCCCCCTGAGGCTCCTGGGGGCTTGGCTCCCTGCATCTGGTGGAGAGGACTTCCCTTTCCCGGGGGATCCTGTGATGCAAGTGAAAAGAATCTTTAAAAAGTTACAGGTAGGGAGGGGCAGTAAGTACATAGAAGGAATAAGGTGTTTTAAGTGGTGTGTGAGGCTGTCTCCGTTAACTGACATGTCGGGGGGAAGCATTTGTAAATGGGCGTGGAGGCTGCAGAATGTCTGCAGAGGCACTGGGAACTCTTTTTCCAAGGTCCTTCACTGCCCCTGACATGATGTTGGTTTCTTTGCCCTTTGGGCTTTGCTAGTCTTGCATACATGAAAATCTTCCATTTTTATTTGTTCAGCGGAAACCATAGTGAACGTGTTGGATTTCAAGAAGGACGTTGGGCTCTGGCATGGGATTCTGACAGTAAGTGTGACACCCCCCCCCCTCCCGCTGTGTGCTGCTCACACTGAATGTGCTCGGTGCCACACCGGAATTAGGGTCTGTACACACAGCCGCTCGCTCGAGTCCCCTCCCGCACTGGGGAGAAAAGCCGTTACTGCTAGAAGCTTTAAGCTGTCCGCTAACGCGACTTCCCAAGCCCAGGAGGCCTCTCACGGAAGTGGGGAGTCATGACCCCCGCCCCCCGCAGAGGCACAGCCGCTGAGGAAACAGGGTCTCTCTCCCCCCTTCTGGAATCACAACTGCAGTGACGTTAGTCATGTCTCCGGTCTGGGTCACTTTTCCGTTGTGTTTGGTGTCGCTCTGACACTGTTATTTTTCCTTCCTGTGAGTCGGTGCTTGTGAATATTTGCAAATCTGCTTGGTTATGCTGCAGGGGAAGCACTTTACAGGGCCCCCCGCCCCATGCTCATAGTCTGCCCGTGTCATAGAGAACCGTGGGCCGCCTCATCGCGGATGCCACCTGGCCAGGGCGGGCACTTTTATGGAGACATAGCCTGGTTATTTAAGGTCTGCTCAGCCCTTCCAGGAGTGCATAGCATAAGTGCTTGGAGCCTCGCTGTGTCTGTTCCCGAGATGGTAATCTGCACTCCCCTGTTTCTAAGTTTCTTACGCTAAACTTCATCTTTCCTGGGGTAGAAAATTCTAGGGGCCTTTGCATGAGTGATAGGATATGAGTAGATAAAGCGTGATTTGTCGCCTCTTGGTGAGGGCAGGTGAGCGGCGCACGGACCGAAGGTTGGGGGCTCCAGACGAGCCAGCCTCCCTGTGGTTGGTCTGTGCCCCTGGGTCCCAGGAGGTGCTGACCTGGCGAAGCAGAGCTGCACATGTGCGCTCACTGGGCAAGCAGGTGTCGTGGGGAGAGCGTGGGCTCCGTCACCGGGCCGACGTCAGTCCTGCCTTCGCGGCTCCGTGCCCGCAGGCATATCGCCTGCACTCGGGTTCTCCTGAACTGCAGGCTCCTGCTGTCAGGTGGGGAGATGGTCCTGCGTGGTATCCTGGGCACTCAGTCCACCTCCCTGCCCGATGGTCGTGGCGGCTGCCTCGTGGCTGTTGATGTTCGAGTTTCTCCTTGATGCTGTTTGTAGGGACCTCTGTGATAGTCTTGGTGATGTCACCCACCTGCTCGCCGTTGCTCTGCACTGGCAGTTTCTGAGTCTCTATTTCACTGCCACCTGCTAGAGCAAGCCCTGGCACCTGCTAGATTGACCCGCTCCCCTGGTATCTTCTGTGTGGCAAATGGTGCCCTTGGGCCCCAGTGTGGAGCAGGGAGCCAGCCCGTGACGGGCTCTGGGCCGGTCGTGTCCCCACACGAAGCCTGGTGGGGGGCAGGGAGCCAGCCCGTGATGGGCTCTGGGCTGGTCGTGTCCCCACATGAAGCCTGGTGGGCAGGGAACCAGCCCGTGATGGGCTCTGGGCCAGTCGTGTCCCCACACGAAGCCTGGTGGGGTGAGGAGCCAGCCCATGACGGGTTCTGGGCCTGTCGTGTCCCCACACGAAGCCTGGTGGAGCAGGGAACCAGCCCGTGATGGGCTCTGGGCCGGTCGTGTCCCCACATGAAGCCTGGTGGGGGGCAGGGAGCCAGCCCGTGATGGGCTCTGGGCCGGTCGTGTCCCTACACGAAGCCTGGTGGGCAGGGAACCAGCCCGTGACGGGCTCTGGGCTGGTCGTGTCCCCACACGAAGCCTGCTGGGGTGAGGAGCCAGCCCATGACGGGTTCTGGGCTGGTCGTGTCCCCACACAGAGCCTGGTGGGGCGGGGAGCCAGTCCGTGACAGGTTCTGGGCCAGTCGTGTCCCCACACGGAGCCTGGTGGGGGGCAGGGAGCCAGCCTGTGACGGGCTCTGGGCTGGTCATGTCCCCACATGGAGCCTGGTGGGCGGGGAGCCAGCCTGTGATGGGCTCTGGGCCGGTCGTGTCCCCACACGGAGCCTGGTGGGCGGGGAGCCAGCCTGTGATGGGCTCTGGGCCGGTCGTGTCCCCACACGGAGCCTGGTGGGGGGCGGGGAGCCTGTCCTGCTAGTGTGTCGGCAGTCACCCTGGTGCGTTGTTTCCAGAGCGTCATGAACATGATGCACGTGATCAGCATCCCGTATGCGCTGATGAAGGTGAACCCGCTGTCCTGGATTCAGAAGGTCTGTCAGTACAAAGGTACGCGTCCAGGGGCCTCGGGACCCCGGTGCCCTCTTTAAACAGCTCCTGGTCAGACAGTGTGCTTAGTAACGCCCTTGCTTCTACTCTTCCCACAGCAAAGGTGGCTTGTGTCAAATCCAGGGACATGCACTGGGCGTTAGTAGCACACAGAGATCAGAGAGACATCAACCTCTCTTCTCTCCGGATGCTGATCGTGGCCGATGGCGCAAACCCTTGTAAGTGACCTACCTGCTGGGCGGGCAGGTGGGCGGGAGAGAGCCCCGTCCTCCTCTGTGTTTCTGCGCTTTGCTTTTCCTTTTCTAGCCATTACTGTGGTTAGGGAGTGGTCTCAAGTTCATGACCCCGCAGCGTGACTCTCTGAAGCCTCAGGGCGCCACGACGGGGGCGGGTAGGAAAGCACGAACTCCTGGCTCCCGCCCTGGGCTTGAGTCCTGCTGTCGCCATATCCTGATTCTGTGAAGGAAACCACAACCTGACTAATCCTTTCCTCCTTGAGCTGCAAAATGGTGCCTACATCTTAAAAGTTTAAGAAGATTGAATTAAGTAGCTCCTGCGTGTATTTCCTTGAGTGATGTTACGTGCTCAAGAAATATTAACTATTACCGTTTCATGGTCTACAGTAATTTCATTGACCAAGAAATTAATTTGTCATTTTAGTGGAATTTCATTATCAAATCCTACAGGAAGAACCGCCCAGGTAAAGTGAATTAGGAGTCCCACAGAATGCCGTAAACATACCTCAGGACACACTGCCCTGGGCTGAAAGAGAAGCCGGCAGGCTTGTTGTTGATGAGAGGGCCGTGTGATCCAGGAGTAGAGTGAGTGAACGAGGCAGCATTAGTTTCTGACCATCTGCAAACTGGGCCACGTTGACATTTGTCACTTAAAGCAGAACACGTGATACGTACACATGGGCTCCCACCCACGTGATTCAGTGTTGGTTGTGTACGTGGTTGTGTTTCCCCGGGGGCTCCGTGACTTGTGAGCCATTGTCACACGGCTGCTCTCAGCCAGCAGTCGTGGCCGAAGCCAGGCTCACTTGCGTCAGGAAGTAGTTTGCCAGTAGGTGCCTGGCAGCCAGTCCGGATCTCTCCGGTGGGATTACCACAGGGGAGAGCCGTCTTCACCTGGCTTAGGTAGAGGCCTCTTGCGAACTCGCACATTGACGACGGGGGGACGAGCCTCAGGGAAGGTATGCAGGCCTTGGGCGGAAGTTACACTTTTAAATCCTTGAGCTCAGTCGGCCTGAGAGGATCACCTTGCGGGTGACGTGACTCATAAGCCGTATCGAGTGAAGTATGTTCTTGACCGCCTCTCTCACAGCCTGACTTGAGAAGCACTTGCATCTGGGTGGTTTTAGTCCGTCCCGTGCTTCCGCCGGCTGACTGTCGTCCCCTTTCACCTGCAGGGTCTATCTCCTCCTGCGACGCGTTCCTCAACGTCTTCCAGAGTAAAGGCCTGCGCCAGGAGGTCATCTGCCCTTGCGCCAGCTCCCCAGAGGCTCTCACCGTCGCCATCCGGAGGTACAGCTGGGCCCCTGCGGCGGCGCCTGCATGGTGTGACCGCTCCCCGGGAGGGCAGGACCCAGTCCGTTTGAGGCCGGCTTTGCTTCCCCTTGTGTGCTGGAACGGGTTCTTCCGGGTAGTCCGGACCCGTTAGGACACCTGGCTCCCTCTGGAGAGTGACTGCCTGAAGCCCGTGTGGCGGTCTGGCAAGCAGTGACCTCCCGTCCTGTCCTGTCCTTGCGGGTCACCCATGTTTCCACGAGCCCGTGTCCGGCCTGCTGTGATGCGGGGCTGGGCTGCGTCAGTGCTGAGCGGAGGGAGGTGTTTGCAGCAGAGCCGGGCCTGTTGACACGCGGTTTCCATGAGGTCCTGGCCGTCTGAGCTCTCGAGTTGTGGTGGCACGTCCGTGGGCTCTCAGGTCTGCGTGTGGACACGGGGCCTGCATCACTCTTGCTCTTGGCCATCAGTCGGCCTCGCCGCCTGCTCCAGCTCCAGGCACACTTGCAGGGGGGCGTGGGTGCAGGTGCATGAAGCCAGTCCCACCCAAGCTGAGAGGTGCAGGAAGGGCATTTGCTCGTTATCCACCATCTGCCATCCTCACAACGTGGGAAAGGAGTGTTTGCGTTGCCCACATATTTCCAGCCTTGCACCCAACTTGCCCAGTATCTTTGCGTTCCGTCGCTGATGAGGTTTTATCTTGTGTCACACAAGTGTGCTCTGTCGTAAGAATGGAAGACACAGTTTTCAGCTCACGAAAGCATGTGCCCTCATTACTGAAAGGTTTGGTCCCCAAAAATACTCCATGGAAGAGTGTTTGTAAATAATACAACTTCTGATGAATGTAGTTGTTAGTTAACGTAAAGTCAACCAGTATTACTAAAAGGATTGAGAAATCTAAAACCTGTAAAGTATGAGAAGCAAGTTTTAATTTGATTGAAGCAGAGTTTAGAACTCTGTAGCATATTTTTATCGATGAGGAAATTTGGTGCCATTAACCAGAATCCAATTTCCAGTTTTTAGAGGGCGTCACTGTTGTAACAGGAGGCGCACCGCACATTATCTCCCACCATTCGTGTTTGGCCTCGGACAGAGCCCTGGAGGCTTCAGCAGCATGTCGGCCACCACAGTGCTCTTCTGAGATCATATTAAACTGTGTCCAGTTTGAGCCTGAGTGTAGATGCCAACGAGACACAGTCTCAGTTCAAGCCAGCCAGGGCCTGGCCACAGGGTCCTGGGCGCATCCTTTGTCTCCAGGGCCTCAGTTTCCTCCACCAAGTTGAGGGGCTCGGACTCAGTACTCTGAATTTCCTGTGGCCTTGGAGTGTCAAGATTGTGCAGTTGTGTGACGTAGCACCATTGCCACAGATAATTCACAAGATGACTAGTGATTCCATCATGTAGAAGATCCAGTTGTCAGGACGCCTGGGTGGCTCAGTCGGTTAAGTGTCTGACTTCGGCTCAGGTCATGATCTCACAGTTCATGGGTTTGAGCCCCGCGTCGGGCTCTGTGCTGACAGCTCAGAGCCTGGAGCCTGTCTTCGGATTCTGTGTCTCCCTCTCTCTCTGATCCTCCCCTGCATATGCTCTCTCTCTCTCTTTCAAAAGTAAATAAAACATTTAAATAAAAATTTTTTTGAAGAAGATCCAGTTGTTAGCACTACATGATTTGTGTATTTGCTTTTCCTAGAAGTGTCCTCTGTACCTTGGGATTACGCAGAGTGGAATATGCCAGACTTGATGGCAGAGGGAGGAGGAGTCAGTGAAGGATTTTTGTTTTAAAGGATAAACATACGCTATATATATTTATATTTTATACGTATATGTTTGTGTTTATTTTTGAGAAAGAGACAGAGCACGAGCAGGGGAGGGGCAGAGAGAGAGGGAGACACAGAATCTGAAGCAGCTCCAGGCTCTCAGCTGTCAGCACAGAGCCCAGCATGGGGCTCAAACTCATGAACTGTGAGATCATGACCTGAGCCGACGTCGGAGGCTTAACCAAGTGAGACACCCAGGTGCCCCATCAGCAGAGGATTCTTAATTGTTTCTCTAAAAATGTTTTAAAGTATTTAAAATCTTGAAGATGATTAAAAATGTAATAACCCAAACAGGCAAAGTAAGGGGCTGCTGTTTCCTGGCTTGTGCCAAGCGGTGTCTGCTGAGCGGTGGTCAGTGCCTCACATGTCCCCAGGCACCCCCAGGGCCCCCCGCGCCTCCCCATGTGCCTTCCATGAGCCTCCCCCAGCTCCCCACACTCCCCACATGCCCCGTGCCCCCCCATGCGCCCCCACGCCCCTCACAGTGCTCCACAGCTCCCCACACCTCCTCATGCTCTCTACATGCCCCAGGACCCCTCATTTGCCACCCCATGTCCCCTACATCCTGCCTTATGCCCCATGCCACCCCACCGTACCCCATTCTCCCTGCCCCCACCACGTGCCCCCACGCCTCCCTCCATTCAACCCCACACATCCCCTGCACAGATCAGCCTTGGCTGAGTCCGCACCATCACTCCGGGCTGGGAACGGCGGCTTTAGAGGCCCTCACCCTTCTCTAACCTGCGGCTGGCAGCCACCGCTCCGCCAGGAGACCGTGGGCAGGGCAGCTCCCACTGGGAGCAGACGGGAGTGCGGTCACACTTGCAGAGACTTGATGCCACCCACTTTGCTCTGAACTGAGTTGGCATCTCTTTGCAGACCCACCGACTTCTCACACCCAGCCACGACCCTGGCCACCACTCTCACTTCCAGGTCTGCTGTTTCCAAAATAACCAGAAGAAAATCAAGGGCCTGGGACAGGGCAGTGGGTACAGGTGACCGGAGCGCCTTGCTCTCCATCCTGTAGCAAGCCGTAGCTGGAGACGGCTCTTGTGTGGGCAGGGGCGAGGGCGGGGGTCCAGCAGAAGGATTGCCACCGGAAAGGCTCAGGACCATCCACCTCATCCTCACCACCTGTCCGCACTCCGCATGTCACAAGTGGAGCTGACTCAGCAGAAGCGACACGTGCGGTTACCACCTTAGCCAAATTGCTACCTTGCTTTCCTGGCAAAATCTTCTGTGGCTTACATCAATTCAGCTTATTATGTTACTGAAATGGCCACCATTTGAAAGTGACGAGATGGCCCGGTGTCTCTTGAGGCCTCTCAGAAGATGGTCCCATGGCCCAGGGCCTCATGGGCATGCTTGGTGACAGGTAGTGATGTGTGACCCCTCCATTTCGCTACTACGTCAAACAGGGAAAAAGGTTTAGTTTTAATTCTAAGATACTTGCACTTGATTATCAACTTAACAGTTATAGCCAAATAAAGGTAATTTTGGAAAAGATCCTTGCAAGATATGTGAAAGCAGAGGGTTCTTAAAGATCATTGTGTGATCCACCATAAATGCTCACAGGGCCCATAAATGCCTCTGCACTGTTACCGCCTTCTTTTTTTGGGTTAATATAATTTATTGTCAAATTGATTTCCATACAACACCCCGTACTCATCCAAAGTGCCCTCCTCAGTGCCTGTCACCCATTCCCCCTCTCCCCCACCCCCATCAACCCTCAGTTTGTTCTTAGTATTTAAGAGTCTCATGGTTTGCCTCCCTCCCTGTAACTTTTCCCCCCATCCCCTCCCCCATGGTTCTGTTAAGTTTTTCAAGATCCACAGGTGAGTGAAAACATATGGTATCCGTTATTTAAGGCATTTTCAAATAGATATGACGGAAATGTCAGTCACTTGCATCTTGTGAACACACTCCTCTCTGTGAATAGACGGGAAAACACCCGATCCTGGTGTTGCATGCGAATGACTGAGCAGAGGTTGAAACAAATCTTGCATTTGGAGAGCGATCCTGCGCGCCTTACTCCGCATATTCTGGAGACTTGAGGGGAATTTCCATACATAAAAGGTCAGAAGCTGGGTTACCAAGTAAAAAAGTCTTTATCGGGGCGCCTGGGTGGCTTAGTCGGTTAAGTGTCCGACTTTCGCTTAGGTCATGATCTCACGGTTCGTGGGTTCGAGCCCTGCGTCGGGCTCTGTGCTGACTTCCAGCTCAGAGCCTGGAGCCTGTTTCAATCTGTGACTCCCTCTCTCTCTGACCCTCCCCTGCTCACGCTGTCTCTCTCTGTCTCTCCTAGAAATAAATAATAAACATTAAAAAAAAAAATTTTAAAGAATGGGAGTCAGGGGACTTGAAGGGACAAGGGCAAGAGGGGTGCCTGTCTTCACACCTGTCTGTCTTTGCGGTGTCACACCTGACATCATGGCTGTCTGTCTCCATGGATGCTTGTCCTCATGTTTGTCCGTCTCCATGGGTGTCCGTCTCCATGGCTGTCTCCGCGGGTGTCCCTTTCCATGACTCTCTGTCTCCATGGGTGTCTCTGTTTCCATGAGTGTCCATCTGTGTGTGTGTGTCCATCCTCATGTGTGTCTCTATGGATGTCCCATGTGTCTGTGGATGTCCGTCTTCATGGGTGTCTGTCCCGTGGGTATCTGTCTTCGTGTGTGTCTGATTTCATGTGTGTCCTGTCTGTGCCTGTCTTCATGAATGTCTATTTCAAGTGCCTGTGTTCACGTGCATCCGTATTCATGTGTGTCTGTTCGTGCATGTTTGTTTCCGTGCGTGTCGACCAGGTAACGGCAGTAAACCACACTGTTCTCCTGTGAGGCCTGCCCTGGCTTCGGAGCAACCAAGATATTTCATCATTTTTCTTGTTTTCAAAACTGTCGTCAGTCAGGCTCACGTTTTCAGTTTCCTTTTTCTTTGAGGAATAGTTGTAAAGTCAAAAAATTGGAGAAATATGGTTTCATGATGCCTAAAGTATCTGTAGAATTATTTCAAAAGGGCAAACTGCAGAATGAAAACTAGCAAATCATTTTGTGACCCCCTGTATTCTGGGGTTGCTGTCTGGTTCTGGCTCCATTGCTGGGATGTCGATGATAGAATCCACTTTTTAAAGCTATGTTCTAGTAATGTGTTTGAAACAAAAAAAATATTTTGTGGGCTTTATTTTTCCTTCTTTTTTTTTTCTTTTAA